TTTTTTTTTTTGGTATTGACATAATAATAATATTGTCGGTTATATTTTTTCACAAGCCGAATTGACAATGATCCTAAAATTTATAAAAAATTGAATAATTAGAAAAGATAAAAAAAAAAAAAAGATGATAAAAATATAACACTAAATATAAACAATTTTCAAACTTACCATAGCAACTTGAACTGATGAATCACGACCAGCCTCCCAGAATTTTGATAAACCCAATTTACCTGGTAAAGTATACCTTCTTACAGGTAATTTTTTGAATTGAACAGCTTCAGTTATTGATTCCGAGGCGCGACGTTGCAAATTTGGTGTAGTATTGTTGTTATTATTATTATTATTATTAATTGTAATATCATTTCGAGGAGCTGAAGTAGAAAATGGGGAAGAAGAAAATGGAGAAATAGGTGTTGTTGGAGAAGCCATTTCACCGTCAGAAGAATCTGACGATGAATCTCGAAAATGATAATTATTGTTACGTGGAATATTTTGATTTCCTGTTGGTGTATCTTCTTCGTAACTATTGCTTATCCAAGAAGTAAAAAACATTTTTTCTTTTTAAGAAAATTTGATATGATAATGGAAAAAAAAAAATTTTTTTTGGTGGTTTTTTTTTATTGGTATAAATTAATATCCTCTTTTTCGTAAAAAAAAAGACTTGAGAGGTGTTAAGACTTGTAATTTAGGAGGATAAATATATGTATTGTGTACAGAGAGAAAAGAGAAAGAAAAAAAAGAAAAAAAAGAAAAAAAAAATGAAACGGAAAAATATATACAGAGAAGTATTAAATATATTTTTTTTTTTATACAACATATAATTAATTAAGTACAAAAAAGCGAGAAGTTTTTGTCGTAAAAATTCTTTTATTATGACATAAAAGAAAAAAAAAAAATAAGAAACAATAAAAAAGAAAAAGAAAATAAAAATAAAAATAAAATGACTCGAAAATTTTAATAACCAACGAGTGTTTTTATAAAAAAAAAATAAAAATAAAATAAAATTTCAACGGGTGGCGAAAAAAAAAGGGTAAAAACAAAGAGGGGTTTTTATATGAAAAATTTATTTATTAAAAGGCAGTGTAAAATTTGTTAAAATTAGATTGCATAAAAGTTTAAACAGCTGATACACGAAATTACATACTACAGTTTATGGGTGGGAATGTTGTGTGTGTGAAAATGTGATTTTTCAAGAAAAAAGAAAGAATTTGGGTCATGAGGATCAATTTTGGATCATTATTATAATAATTGAACTAAATTACACTAATTACACTAAATTACACTAAATTAACACTAAATTACTATTTTTTCAGTTGTTTATCAATTAAAGTCAAGTCAAGTAAAAGTTTTTAGTTTAGTTTATTTTATCATTATCATTATTAAATTAAAAATAAATTAAATATTTAAATATTCTTTTTATTATTCTTTTTATTGTTTTTTTTTTTTTTTACAAATTTAATATGCGATATGATAAAAGCAGATTGTAGATTGTAAATCCATGTAATCATGACATATTCTTTATATAGAAATATAATAATTTCTGAAACACTAACAAAATTGGAGAATTATGAAAGAAATCATTAATGTTTTTCCTTCAACTTTTTTTAATTTGAAATTTGAAACTTAAAGATCAATTCAAAGGAATAAATATTACAAATATGTAAACAACAGATACGATAAAAACTCGGAAACAATGAAAAAAAGAAAAAAAAACGTGGCATTTATGATATAATTTTCTAGTTGATTCTTTAATTTTGCTTTTAAAATTAAAACAATAAATAATCAACACATGACCCTTTTTTTTTTTATTATAAACCAAAAATACGAAATTTCTATGGATCCTTTCAATTAAGGTTCGTAGATCATTTCTTTATCAAATACTAAGCCCGCCACTTTCCCCTTTTCGTTAATAAACTTGCAAAATGACTTGAATATTTTTGTTTAAAAAAAGATTGAGGCTAAAATGTTGTGTTAATAACGAAAACGCGCTTAAAAGTAGTAATAAGTAATGAACTTATTTCCTCAATATATGTCGTGAAACGGATATTGATAAGAAAAATGATAATCATAAGAGAAGAAGTAAAACGAAAAAGAAGAAGTTTTAATATGTATGTAATGAGAATTATTATCTATTTATCTTATTATTTATCTGTTTATGTAATGAGAATACTAACCATAATTTTAAAAAAATCTTGTGAAAATTACAGTTATTTTTATTTTTTATATAACAAGTTTGTTGTTCTCTGTAATAATAAACAAATAATAATAAATCTTTTTTTGTTTAAATACGAAAAAAGATAAATTAAAAAAAAAAAATTTATTACAAAGAAAAATACCTGGTAATCCTCATTTTCCTCATTTCCCATGTCCCCCACCTATGTAACGCCTTATCATTCATTAAATTAGTGAATTACCGATCAATTTTGCTTATTTTTTTGCCGATAGGATATATCAGGATGAAATCTTGTAATCTCTTAACTTTCTTACCGGAAAAACACGCATGATTTGATTTCTATGTTTAAAATGGGTTGGTTCCGTCGATTTTCTTGGTGTAATCATGTGATGATTACTCAAAATTCATTGGTAACATCAAGAAACTCTGGAAATGATATGCTGATAAGCATTGAGATAACGGTTTTTTATCTTTTATTCTCCCAACAAAGTCTAAAAAAAGTTTATTTTTTAAAAAAAAAATATTCTCGCGAAAATGAAAAAAAACTCTCACGAAACATAAAAAAATTCTTGAGAATTTTTCTCTAATTCCCTAATCAAGATAAATTGGTGTGTCCATTTGGTTATGAAAATATTTGTGAAAGGTCACAAGGTGTCAAGTTGCTTTATCCATATTACACTTATTTTTTTAACGCCACAAAATTTTACAATATTTACTTGGTCAATGCATTATTTATTTACTTACATCATCAAATTATTTATGATGATGTATTTGATATATTTTTTTTTTGAAAAAAATATATCATACATTTCGCGTAATTAATTCTTTAAACAATACTGGTAAATCTTAATTACGTGATTTAATTAATAAAATATTGTTCTTTTTGAACTAATTTAGACTTTTTACTTTAAACCACTTATCATTAGTTTACTTTTATCTTCATCCAACCATTGAACCACGTGTATTTAAATCCCATAAATTTGTAATTAAAAATATATTTCTTTAGCCTCTCCGAATAAAAAATTTTTCTTTGTTATCTTTTTATAATAGACAAATATAATCTATTATGTATTGAGTTTTTTTTTTAAAAAAAATTATGAATTACATAAAAAAATTTGTCTTCAAGTAAAAATCTAAAGGTTTACTTAGACTTTTTAATTAATTTTTATTTCGATTATGGTTAGAAAGTCACCTGCCTTTATGACATTTTAATCCAATATTCGCCGATTTATGGAATTTTATCTAGAAATAGTATAGCGCATTTTACAAAGGTCTTTAAATTCACGTGAAATATTAATTTAGCTTACAATCTAAAAAGGATCATTTTAATCAGGAATAATTTAAATTGATTTAATAAGATGATCAGACCAATATTTGATATATATATTGTTGAAAACAATAATTGGGCTCTTTGCAATAATATACTCAAATATTGTAATTTGTACAGAATTAGCATTAACTAAAATTTTTTTTAGCAGTTTCTCCCTTTTTATTGCAAAGAGTCCAATTATCAAAGTATAATGATTTTTATATGGATTCCAATATATCATTATTATTCTGGATATATAATTATAAAGGCTAATATGTAATTTTATTAAAAGTATTTAGTTCTCATTTTTTTTGATATTAATAAAGTAAGCCTTATCACAGTTAGATATTTGAATATACAAATTTAACATTTGCATAGTTTTTATTACTAATGATAATATTATGTAGACATTTATACTTTATTACTTATTATTTATTATTCATAAATACTTGTAAATATGTATTATTTTTTTTTAAAGAGTTAAAATTCAGAAAGGTATAAAAATTGCTTTTATTGGTACTGTATAATATATTAGCACTTATATGCTAACCTTTAAATATATAACATTAATGAATAATTTAATTTTCTTATCAATTATTTTGGATGAAAATATTAATTAAAATAAAAGAAATAAAGAAAGTATATAAAGTAAAAAGTAGTGAAAGTTATTAAAAATGTTAATAAACTGTTTTTAAGTAATTTAATAACAAAAGTTACTTTGTATTTTGTAAAATTTTTTAAATGTTTTAAAAAAGTAAATGTGAAATCAATTAAAAAGAGTTTTATTTACAATTTTTTATACTTTAATTTTTTAGAATTATTAAAAAACTTATAAAAATTTTAAAATATTAAAAAAAAATACTTTTAAAGTATTTTTCCATTTTTTTTAATATTGACTTTTTTTTTATTATTATTATTATACTCAAAGAAAAAGATACAATCATAGTTTAAAAATGTAATAAATACAACTTTATAAAAACTAATCAGTACCATACTTGCTATAGTGTAATGTCAGATATATTTTATGGGTTTACTAAAGTCCAAACAAAAGAAATAAAAAAAAAAACAAAAAAAACAAATGAAGAAAAAAAGGTTAAAAGTTGGCAATGAATCCTTTTTACAAATAATTACACTTCTAAAACTAATAAGGATCCAAAGATTTATTTCTTAAATCCTATTAGGTTGTTATCAGTTTTTTTAATATTGAATGAATTTCAGCTAAAATTATTAGTTTATCAATACTGTTTAAGCTCTTGTCAATTTTCTTGATTTATTTGGTTACTTTTTATTTTTACCCAATTTCAAGTTAATTTTTTACATAATTTTAGAGAGTTTATACCTTAGTTTTGCTTTTGAAAAATCCTTTTTTAGTGTAGACCTATTTAATAAAGATATAAAATATCAAGTCTAAACATCTGAAATTCTTGCAATTTCAATTTATATTAATAATTTTATCCAAATCCATCCACAAGTTGTAATATATAATTAGTTTGTAATGTTCTTTATTTTAAACAATCTTGAATACTTTACAATCTAATAGTAAAAACATTAAATAAGTTGAATTTTCTGTTAGATATAATACATTTGTAGTAATAGAATTGAAAATATTTATTATAATAGCCTGAAATTTCTCATATTTTTTATATTGCTTCAAATTTCAAGTTGTAAGAAATTATTTTACAGGCAATCTTCTTAAAAGAGTTGTTAAAACTCCTTTATTTTATAGGTTTATCAATACAGTTAATATGATATATTTCTTCTGCATTTTGGATTTATTACTATCACATAACCCATTCCTTAAGATAATTCAAGATTTCAAGTTAGAACCCTATAAAAAGCGGAAATATTATATACAACTATTTTTCAATATTATCCCTACAAAAAGCTTTATATTCCATCATAATCAAGCTAATTTTCTTTTCAGTGTATACAATTATTTTTTCACTTTATTATATAATAGATTACTAAAGTTACTGCTTTTCATAGTTTGTTTTTTAATACTATTTATTTTCAGAAATTCAGATTGCTATTATCAATATCTATGTCTTGTAATATTATCTTGATATAACTTACTTTTCTATTTTTATCTTTTAGAGTAAATAGCTCAGCTAATATATTTAGAGATTTGTTTAATTATACAATAAATTTGACCAGTAATTGATGTTTAACTTCTTTAAAAATTTCTAT